ATAGATTTTGACCGGGACCAGGTGCCACATTGGAAGCCTGCCCTGAACTCGGCTGCAGAAAACAACGTATTTGAGGGGGTGTCCACCAGGTCAGGAGAAAATGCACCAACAAGCAAACAGTGTTTTAAAGCCTGTGGTGGATGTTATATAAAATTTGAAAAGAGGTTTGTTTATGTGTTTTTAAGAGAGACGCGCACAAAACTGGGTTGGTGCATCCCACATCCCTCACTGTGTGACTTTGGATAACTTACTTACCCTCTCTGGGAAGCCTGGGGGTTGGCAGCCCCAGCCAAAGCTTGGTACAGGGCATTAGATGAAGTGATACCAAGGGCATAGCCTGGCATCTGGGGCTCGGGAAGCCATCCGTATCTGCTGTTGCTACTGTTATTATTGTTTTGTTTTGTTTTTGAGACAGAGTCTCACTCTGTCGCCCAGGCTGGAGTGCAGTGGTGCAGTCATAGCTCACTGTAGCCTCCAAATCCTGGGCTCAAGCGATCCTCATGCCTCAGCCTCCCAAGTAGGTGAGACTACAGATGCGCACCACCACGCCTGGCCAAGTTTTTAATTTTTAAATTTTTTGTAGAGATGGGGTCTTGCTATATTGCCCAGGCTGGTCTTGAACTCCTGGCCTCAAGTGATCCTCCTGCCTCGGCCTCCCACAGTGCTGGGACTATAGCTATGTACCACCACGCCCAGCTAAATTTTGGTATCTATTTTTAGTTGGCCAACTAATTTTTGCCCCCTGTTAAGAACTTCCTGAGCTAGGTAGACAACTTTGCTTTGAATTCGACGCCAGCTTTGGGACCTAGACTCTCTGCCCGGGGCCTTGGTTTACCAACCTCACAAATTGAGCAGATTTAACCAGACGGTGCCGTGAAGCACTAATTTAGCGCAGTAAAAACTCAGCAAATGGAAGCTTCCCGCTTGGGGTCTGGGGAATCTTGGGGCGCTGGCTGTTGGCCAGCCTCGAGACACTATCCACTCTGAATGCATCTGTTCAGACCGACGGAAGGTCCATTTTAGGGCTGGATGTCTATGGAGGTGGGAGGAGGAGGAATTATTTGTACCTTTTTTTTTCCTTCTCTGATTTTTCACGGAAACAGCCGGAGCAGTACGGCGCAGTCGAACTCTCTCTGATGGTGGCAACATTCTGCCCTGCCCGATTCGGTCGCCACCGGCCACGTGTGGCTCCTGAGCTCTTGAAATGTGGCTTGTGCAACGGAGGAGACTGAAATGTTCATTTTATTTCCATTTAGCAAATTGAAATGGTCCCGTGTGGCTGTGACCCCTGTCCTGGGGACAGCTCTAGAGCATGGGGACTTCTCAGGAGCTGAGTGGTGGCTGACTTGTCCGCAGGTGCATGAGAAATGTTCCCAGGTTTTAGAGATGATTCAGAATGAGAGGCTGGGGAGGGGAGTGTGCAGGGGGGATAAAGCGGAGCATGGTTAGTAGGTGCAAAAATTTATTTTAAAAATGAGACGGCAGAATAAAAAGGAAGGACAGGCTACAATGTGGATGAACCCTGAGGACATCGTGCTCCGTGAGAGAAGCCAGACACAGAAGGACAAGTCCTGTGTGACTCCACTCACAGGAGGTCCCCAGAGGCGTCAGATCCACAGACACAGGAAGCAGGATGGTGGGTGCCAGGGGCTGGGGAGGGGGTAGGGAGTGAGTGTTTTCTGGGGACAGAGCGTCAGTTGGGGAAGACGAGAAAGTTCTGGAGACGGAGGGTCGCAATGGCTGCAGAACAGTGTGAATGTGCTTAATGCCACTGAGCTGTGCACTTAAACATGGTAAAAATGGTAAATTTTATGTTCTATATATTGAAGCACAATAAAAACTAAATTAACAATTAAAATGAGATGACATATAGTTAAAGCATCATATTATTTTACAATTACACTTATTTAAAAAAAAAAAAAACACAACTGCCAGGGCTATAGAAAAAGAAGAAAACTTCCTGAGCCCAACGAGGGGCTCTGCGAAACCCCACAGCCCGCGTCACACTGGTGGCGACAGCCCCAAAGCTCCTCCTGACGTCAGCAGCGAGACGAGGACGCGGCTCTCGCCACGTCTTCCCAACATTGTTCTGGAAGTTCTCGGCAGCGCTCTAAGGCACGAAAAGAAATCAAAGGCCTGTGGATTGGAAAGGAAGAAATGAAACCGTCCCTATTTGCAAATGACATCATGGCCATTCTGAAAATCCCAAGGAATCTACCAAAAAAAAAAAAAAATCAATGCACAAAAATCAACCCCACTTCTCATTGCTAGCAAGCAGCAATTAGAACCCGAAATTAGGACCTGTCATTTACAATCCCTTTCAAAACCTACCGGGTAGTGAAAGTCCATTTGTTGACAACCGCTTCACACTTACTATTGGCTGACTTGGTGACCCCCCCAAAAAACCCTGGGAGGTGGGTTTTATCATCTGCCCATTTTACAGATGAGAAAACGGAGGCTGGCGTGGCTGGCAGAGCCCAGGGTCATTGATCTTAAGCGACACAAAGTGGCAGCATGGAAGACAGTGAGAACGGTGATTGTCGTCAATGAACAATTAACAAAGAAAGTCGCCCTCCGCTCGGGAAAGGGTTTCCTGTGTGCCAGCCACCGTCTGCCCATTTTCCCCCTGTCCCTCGTGAACGGCCTCCGAGAGGTGCTGCGGTTTCACCGGCGGGAAGAGTGAGGCTTGGAGGGAGGGGAGGCGATGTGCCCGAGGTCCCACGCCCCGTCTGCCTGATTCCAAGTGCCCACTGGGAGCCACCAGGGCGCGGCACTTACTAGGTGTTCAGGAAACATTCCCCCTTCTCTGGGAAGCAGCCGGTTGCCAGCCGGGCACTGCTGCCTGCTGAGTCCACGTGGGAGCTGGTCCCGTACGAGGGTCCGGTGCCCGCGGCCTGGAGCCCGGGGCAGCTGGCTTCCCGGGCTGGGCTCTTCCCAACGGAGTGGGCGCCCGTGCCCAGCCTCAGGGCGGTCCAAGCAGGACTGCGAGGGGGCCGCTGGCCGGGTGGCTTGGGAGCGGCTGCAAGGCTGGAGGCCGAGCCGGGCACACTCCCCTCGGCCACCGTCCAGTGCGCACAGCCCGGCCGGCCACCCAGGGCGGCCCTGCTGGAGGAGGGGCTTCCCTCATTGGCTCCTGCGTTTCCTGATTGGGAAACTGAGGCACGGGGCCCTGCTTCTATGCTGTTTACGACATCTTTGGTCTTGGCAGCTGGTGGTGGGTGTGTTCAAACCCCTAGCACGGTGACGAGCAGCTGCTCCCTGGCTCAGGAAGTGACGTGATTTTTATTATTCCACGACAACCTCGAGGGTGGCTTTTATCATCATCCCATTTTACCGAGGAGGAAACTGAGGCCTTCAGAAGAAAAGTGACCTGCCTCAGACCGCACAGCCCCGGAGGAGGCTCTCAGAGACAGGACCTGAACTCAGGCTGGGGGCCTGGACGTCTGAGCGCAGGACAGACACGAGGACACAATGACCCTGGTGACGAAGCACGTGGAGTGGCGTGGGGAGAGGATGTTTTTCGTCATTCTGACGCTCAGTTTTCCTTGTCTGTAAAATGGGTGCAATAACAATGCCAGGTTTGCGGTTGTCTTAAGGATTTAAGGGAACTTATCAAATGGGAATGAAAACAATGTCACATGTGTGGTTATTAACACTCTTAATTAGGGCAATGTGACAGGCGCTACTATGTATCAATATGCCCCCAAGTGCTTCAAAAGTATCTTTTTGTTTGTTTGTTTGTTTTTTTGAGACAGAGTCTTGCTCTGTCACCCAGGCTGGAGTGCAGTGGGTCATCACAGCTCACTGCAGCCTCCAACTCCTGGGCTCAAGCGATCCTCCTGCCTCAGCCTCCAAAGTAGCTGGGACTACAGGCGCCACCACGCCTGGCTAATTTTTCTATTTTAGGTAGAGACGAGGTCTCGCCGTTGCTCAGGCTGGTCTCGAACTCCTGACCTCAAGCGTGAGCCACTGCGCCCAGCCTCCTTGCTACCTCTTGACAATCCCATGAGGCCTGGGAGATGCTCGTGCCCACTTGGAAGAGGAGAACCGGAGGCTCAGAACAGCCGTGCAACCTGCCTGGGCTCACACAGCAATTGCATGGCGGCTTTGGGGTCTGGCTGGTGGGAGGGGCCTGGTTTTCCTTCTTTGGCCTTTGATGGTGACAGTCACCACCTTGATCTTTGACCTTGGGGACAGATGAGAGGGCTGGGAGGGGCTGCCTGGCTGGGCTTGGCCATGTGTTCCCCCCCACCGCCCCCACCCCCAACTCCAGTCCTGGCTGCAGGGTCAGGGCCGCGGCGGGGGTGGCCTGCCTGGTCCCCCAGCCAGGCTGCAGCGACCGATAACGCTGAGCTCAGCGTCTGTCTGCGTCTCCGTCTGCCAAGGAGCCTGATTATTTTTAGATAAGATGGAGGGGCGGGCGCTGGGGCGGAGGGAGCCCCCAGCCAAGGTGGGAGGCGGGGTGCGAGTATGGCAGTCAGAAAGGGCTGCCCCTCAGCCTCATCTCTGGGGACCCCGAATGGCAACCCAAGACCAAGGGCCGGGCGCACAGGACTGCAGGGCAGAGGCTGAGACCAGAGCACCAGAAAGCCCCAGGACTCACCTCTCTGGCCTCAGTTTCCCTGTCTGTAAAACGAGTGTAATGATAGATCCCACCTCACAGGGCTAAGGCAGGAGTCCAGGAGTTATTATGATTTTACTGATGAGGCTCAGAGAGGGCAAGTAACTTGCCCAGGGCCACACAGCAAGAAAGTGGCGGTGTTGGGATTTGAACCCAGGTCTGTCAAGACTCCATGCGTGCTAGCTCCTATGCGCAACTGAGCCAGCCCCTGCCGATGGGGGAGGCCATGCTCCAGCGTGGGGAGACACCGGTGCCACAGGGGCCTGAGCCAGTGTCTGCAGGGCGCCTGGCCAGTCCGCTAGGGGCAGTGGTGTGGACACGTCTCCTCCTGGGGCCGGGGTCCCTGCGATGTCATCAACGCTTCTCCCTCTCTTTGCAGACGCGGAGCAGAGCGGCAGTCCCCGGGCGGGGATGGGCTCGGACCAGGAGGACAGCAAGCCCATCACGCTGGGTGAGTCTGGGGTCGGGGGGGTAGCCCTGTCCCCGTCTTTTATTTAGGGATGCTTTGCTGAGCACCGCCTGTGTGCCCTGCCGGGCCCTGTGTGAGCCCCTCGCGGATGCTGCTCTTGTTCCATTTTACAGATGAGTAGACTGAGGCTTAGGCAGCCGGGGAGCCGGGGCTGGGACCTGTGAGTGTCTGGGCTCTGAGGCGCTCACCCCCAGGAGACCCCGAGGGCTCTGCAGTGCCTGGGACATCACAGAGTCCCTTCTGTGTCGGGGGGGGGGGTGGGAAGTGGAGAATTTGCCTGAGGCAGAGCCCTGGGGAGTAGGAAGGATTCAGCAGCTGTAGAGGCGCCATCATCGCCCAATAGACCAGTGAGGTCCCCTCCACCCCGGTCTCTGGCTCCCACCTTTGCCCTCCCCCCCGTCTGTCCTCACTGCAGCAGCCAGAGGGCGCCTGTGAGCAGCTGAGTCAGGGCCCGTCCCTCCTCTGCCCACAGCCCTCCATGGCTCCCACCTCCCTCGGGGTCAAAGGCCAGGTCCTCCCCGAGGCCCCCCAGGCCCTTCACGACCTGCCCATCCCCTCCCCACCTTGCCCTCCTCCCTCTGTCCCCCTCCTCACTCTGCTCCAGCCACACGGGCCTCCTTGCTGTGCCTCCAACACACCAGGCGCCGTCCTGCTGCAGGGCCTTTGCACGGGCTGTGCTCTATCTGGACAGCTAACTGCTCTCTCTCTCTCTCTCTCTCCCCCCGGATCTCCCCAGACCTCAGCTCAACTGTCCCCTTCTCAGACAGGTCTTCCCCGCACCCTTCCCCTCTGGCAGCCTCTGGCCGCTCTCAGTGACTCCCAGCCCTCTGTTTCCTTTCTCCCAGAGGAAGTCAGTGATTGCACCCGCCCGTGTTCGCTTATCTGCCCCAGGGGAACGGCACCTCCGCCAGGGCAGAGGTTTGGTCCGTGTCCCCAGCGTCTAGAATACGGCCTGGTACACAGCAGGTGCTCAATCCATCTTTGTAGAAAGAAAGAGAGGAGAGAGGAAGGGAGAGACACAACGTGCTCGGGAGAGGAGGAGGAGGGAGGGAGGGAAAAGCAAGTGGGTGACCCCCCGCCCCCCCATTGGCAGGACCAGAACAGCCGTGCACGGGACGCTGGGTGGTTCCAGGGGGAGGTTGACAGGCCCCAAGCCACTCCTCGGTGGCCCCCGCTGACGCATCCGTCCTGCATCTGCGACCCCAGCCGTCCCGGCCTCACACGATTCCCGGGCACTTCCCGGAGCCAGATGTTGAGGGCGGGGGGCGGGGCGCTTGGGTGTCTGGCGGAGGAAATCACGTCCTGCGGCTCGCCAGGGAGTCCCCCGGAGATGGAGCAGGGCGGGCGCTACACAAACAGGAAACCCTGGTGGGGGAGGCGGAGGGGCCGCGCCGACACCAGCTGGCCGGCTGGATCAGCAGGAAACGCCAAGGCCACTTCCCCTGGACACTTGCGGACCGCTGCCCTGTCCCCTACCCCGGGCTGTCGTGGCCCCGGGCCTCCCAGCACAGGGCCGGGCGCGAGGTCATCGCTCAGTAAATGGCACAGCGATTGCAGCCTGGGACCCCGGGGGTCCCGGGACTGACCAGGGCTTGGATCTGGGGACCTGGGCACAGCCAGGAGCTCCCTGCGCCCCGTGCTGCCTCCTGGGGGCCGAGAGAGGAACTGCTCCCCTCAGAGCCGGGCGCCGCCTGCCCGTCCCACCTCCCCTCTGACCAAGCTCCTGGCTCCTGCCAAGTGCATCTCAACCCCCGGGCCTTTGCACAGCCCCTTCCCACTGCAAGGAACACCGGTCAGCATTCACAGGGCTGTTGCCAAGGCCCTCCTCTTGGCGCTTTGCAGATTTTACAAGTTTATTTCTCTGATCTGCCCGCCCACCTTGAGGTCTTTGAGTAAAATCTCCCCCCATCCCCTGCTGCCTTCCCATTGTCTAACACACCTCACGTTTGACTTAGTTTTTTTTTTTGAGACAGAGTCTCGCTCTGTTGCCCAGGCTGGAGTGCAAGGGTGTCATCATAGCTCACTGCAGCCTCCAACTCCTGGGCCCAAGTGATCCTTCTGCCTCAGCCTCCTGAGTAGCTGGGACTACAGGCGCCACCACCACACCCAGCTAATTTTTCTATTTTCAGTAGAGACAGGGTCTTGCTACGTTGCCCAGGCTGGTCTCAGATTCCTAGACTCAAGAGATCCTCCCACTTCGGCCTCCCAGAGTGCTGGGATTACAGGTGTGAGCCACCATGCCTGGCCTTGACTTAGTTTTTATTTTTTAAAAATCGGTGGTAAAATATGCACAATGTAAAATATATCATTTTAACCATTTTGAGTGTACAAGTCAATGGCATTAAGTATATTCACAGAGCTGTGCAGCCATCACCTCTAATTCCAGAACATTCTCATCACTCCAGGGAGAAGCCCCGTCCCCATAAGCAGTCACCCTCATTCCCTCCCCAGCTCCTGGGGACCACGAATCCACGTCCCGTCTCTGTAGATCTGCCTGTTCTGGACATTTCATATAAATGGAGCCTCACACTGTGTGTCCTTCTGTGTCTGGCGTCTCTCACTGAGCACGACGTCCTCAAGGCCCCTCCACGCTGTGGCCTGTGTCAGAGCCTCGTCCCTGTTCCTGGCTGAGTGATGCTCCAGTGTGGACGGACCGCGTTGTGTCTGTCCAGTCATCTGTTGATGGGCACTTGGGTTCTTTCCCAGTTGGGGCTGTCGCTGCTACAAACACCCATGGACAAGTTTTTTTTGACTTATTAATCTCGTGTGGCGTCTGCCGCCCACACTAGACTGTGAGTCCCATGAGAGCAGCCACTTCCGCCTGGCTCATTCCCTGCCGTGTGGTGCCCAGCTCGGAATCGGACGCTGCCGGTGCTCAGTGACCGTCCACTGAGTAAACGGATCCCTCTTGCCAGGGCCTCTGGGGGTGGGACAGGCCTGTCCCCGAGCTGGCTGAGGTTGCCCAAGGCTCCCACCCTCTCCGGAGCAACTTCAGTTTTCAAATCCATGAATTGGGTCCAAACCACTCCAGTTCAGAGAGGAGGGTTCCCCTTCCTTTGATGTTAGGCAGGAGAGGTCCTGGGGTCACTGGGGGATTTTAACTGCTGCCTCTGGACCGCTCCGTTCAACCCCTGGTTCTGAGCCACTGCTGGGTGCCAAGCTCTGATCTGTGCACTGGGGACACAGCAGGGGCCGGGCAGACAGACATCCCTGCCCACACGGAGCTTCCAGTCTGGAGAGAGAGAAGGACAAGAAACCAGAGTGTCGCCAAGGGTGGCGGCGATGCAAAGCCAGCCCGCTCCTAGGGAGCTGGATTCGGAGCTCACGACCACCAGACGGGGTTTGTGGTCTCCGTGTTTGAGATTAGGGAAAACGGAGGCTCAGGGAGGGGGAAGTGACTTGGCCAAGATCGCACACCGAAGGGATGACAGAGCCACCATTCGAACCTGGGTCCGGATCCCGCCCTCCACTCTGGAGTGCAGCCGGCCACAGAGCGGGGCCCCCGGAGGAAGGCCAGGCGGCTGTGTGAAGGCCCAGGCTGGACACGGGCCCGCCATGGGGCCTCCCCGGAGAAGGAGCGGGGCGTGGCTGGCCGTTCCCCCTCTGCCAGGGGTGCAGAGAAGGGAAGCAGGACCAGCTCGGCCCGCCGCCCGCTGACCTGGCTCTCTCCCTGTTGCAGACACGACTGAGTTCCAGGAGAGCTTTGTCACCTCTGGCGTGTTCAGTGTCACTGAGCTCATCCAAGTGTCCCGGAGTGAGTGTCCCCATAAGCCCTGAGCTGGGACCCAGGGAGGGGAGGGGCCTCAGAGAAGAAGAACGAGCCCACCACCCTCACCCTGTTCCCCCTTGTCCACTCCAGATGCCCCCTGTCACCAAGCCAGGGTTCCTGAGAAGGGAGGTGGCCAGGCCCTTCGCAGAGCCCGAGGTCAGGGAGACGTGCCATCTCCCCAGGAAACAGGATCCAGATGTTGGGTGGAGGCTGCTAAAGAACTTACACCCCAGCATCCCTCCTTCATGGGGCCTCTGCCATCCCATAACAGAGGCCCCCAGAAGGCCCCGCCCCTCCTGTCTCTCTGCCTTTCCTGAGTACTTGCTGGGGTCCCAACACACTTCCCCAGGAAGCCCCATTTCAGGTCCCACCCCAGGGAGTTCTGGGCACTGTCCTGCCTTAACCCTGATGGGCACCCTCCCTGTCCCGATCTGGCCTCCAGCTCTGGCTACGCCTCTGCCTCACAGTGCAAACTTGGCCTCTCCATGGCCTTGGTCTTCTGATTCCTAGAATAAGGCTGGTTTCAGCCAAATTAGGAACTAGTTTGGAAAGAAGTCCCCCTCTGGACTGCCATGATGGCTCTCCCCACCCCTCTAGGGCACACCACAGCCCTGGGCCCTGCTCCCTTCCTCATTCTCCTTTCTTCTTTTTTTTTTTTTTTTTCTCACTGTGTTGCCTGGGCTAGAGTGCCGTGGCATCATCCTAGCTCACAGCAACCTCAAACTCCTGGGCTCAAGCGATCCTACTGCCTCAGCCTCCCGAGTAGCTGGGACTACAGGCATGCGCCACCATGCCCGGCTAATTTTTTCTATATATTTTTAGTTGTCCGATTAATTTCTTTCTATTTTTAGTAAAGACAGGGTCTCGCTCTTGCTCAGGCTGGTCTCGAACTCCTGAGCTCAAACAATCCGCCCGCCTCGGCCTCCCAAAGTGCTAGGATTACAGGCGTGAGCCACCGCGCCCGGCCCTCATTATCCTTTCTTGCCCTCTGTAGCACCTGTGGTGACCGGAACAGGACCCAACTTCTCCCTGGGGGAGCTTCAGGGACACTTGGCATACGACCTGAATCCAGCCAGCACCGGCATGAGAAGAACACTACCCAGCACCTCCTCCAGCGGGTATGTGCTCAGGTCCCAATCTCTGGGCATGTCACAACCCCACCCAGCAACTCACCCATCTCTGGCCTCAGCTGGCTCATGCCTTTCCCTGGGATACCTGTTTACACGTGTCACCTGGCCTGGGAAACACCTACTCATCCTTCAAAACCCTGCCCTAAAAAGCCCTGACATCCCACCCTGGGACCCCCTGAGCATACAGACACAGGTTCTTGCTGAGAGATATGCGGTGACAGTGAGCTGGTCACATTGTGTGTGCGTCAGTTTCCCCATCCATAAAGTGGGGTCATAATCCCACTACATTGTCATGAGGATTACAGTGGACCAAGTGATTAGCCGGGCTGCCTGGGCTTTGGTCTCCACCCTGCTAGCTTGGTGTATGACCTCCGCTGAGCCCCTCCCCGCACCTTGCCCTAGGCGTCCCATCCAAGCCAGGGGCAAGTTGGAACAGGTGGGAACCAAGAACAGGCTGAACCTCTGCGGCTCCCGTGAGGTCTCGCGATAGCACCTCCCTCGCCCCGCCCCCTAAGGACCGGAAGTTAGCGAAGCACGCCGCCGCCGTGCCACGCCCCCCGGCCCCGCGTCTCCCTGGTAACCAGCGTCTCCTTCCCTCGCCCCTTAGGAGCAAGCGCCACAAATCGGGCTCGATGGAGGAAGATGTGGACACGAGCCCTGGCGGCGATTACTACACCTCGCCCAGCTCGCCCACGAGTAGCAGCCGCAACTGGACGGAGGACATGGAAGGAGGTAGGGCTGGCGGCGGGGGCGGAGCGAACTTCCGGTCGGGGCGGGGGGGAACTGTTACTGCGGCGGGACTACGTATTCCGGCAGGCACTGCGCGTGCGCGCCCGGGGGAAGGAAGCCGGCCTGGCGCCGCGGGGCCTCCTGGGAGTTGTAGTCGCGCCTGCTGCGCAGTGCTGGAGGGAAAGCCCGGGCTCACGTTCCCGGAGCTCTTTGGTTCCGCTCAGGCCGGGGAGGGCGGAGTCTGTCCCTTGCTGGATTTTCCCGCTCTCCACCTGCTCAGGCCTCATCTCTGCGGGGGTCCTGAGCTGCAGGATAGACTTGGTAGCAATTCTGATCAACAGGGTGCTTCCTCCTGGGGTCTCCCATAGCTTCCCTCATCTGCAGGGTCCATGTTTGTCCTCTTCCCCGCTGGAATGCCCTTGGGTGTAGGATCCCTTCTCCCTGGGGTGCCTCTCCTTGCAACAGTTTCTTTTTCACGAGGTTCCCATCTCCGTGGCATCTTCCTCCGTAGGACCCTGGTTCTATAGCAGACCCGTCTGTTTTTCTATGGGATCTCCATTCCCTTAGCGCCCTTTTCCAGGGAGGTTTTTGTCCTGCTGCTCTCCTGTCTTCATGGGGTGTCCTCTCCAGATGTCTTTCTTGTAGGGTTCCTGTTCCTTAGGGTCAGCAGCTTCACGGGGTGTTTCTTTTTCTTTACTTTTCTTTTTTATTTTATTTGTCCTAACAGCTGTCTATGAGGAAACCTAGAGTCTTTTCTTGTTGCACGCTAGCTCCGTCCTCAAGGGCCCCACGGGGTGGCCCAGTGGTTACAAGTGTGGACGCTGGAGTCCACCTGCCTGTGTATGTAGCCCAGCCCTTGCAGCTTCCTAGTGACCTTGCCTCTCTGAGCCTCAGTTTCCACTTCTGTAAAATAGGAATGTTAATATCTGCAGGGCCCCTCTCGTACAGTTGTTGTGAGGATTAAGTGAATTAACATATCTCACGTCCATAAAACAAGTTTGGCACGGGAGCACCCAATAAACATGAGAGTTTTTCTTCCCCATCCCCCTCCTCTCCCTGGACCCACAGGGCACGCTTTCTCATAAAGATCTGTCTGTGTAAGGTACCATACCATAGGATTTTTCGGGCATGAGACAGACCTGGGTTCGAATCCCAGCTCTGCCACGGACTAGCCACGTGTACTGCATAGTCTCGGGCAGGTAATTTAATTTCTCTGAGCCCCAGTTTCTTCATTTCCAAAATGGGAGTGATGAGATGATAATTCTTCTCTGGGAGATATGGGAGGAGCAACTGTCTAGCTCATGAGAAACGCCCAGGAAACAGGAGAGTGTGTTATTGTCCATGTCTTTATAAAATTCCCATCTCTTCAATTCAGTCTCTAATGCACGTGGTTGTGACATTTCAGCTCCTAAGGGTCCTCTTGTACAGGGTGGGGTCCCAGAGCAGGTACATTCCTAAAGAATTCCTAATCTCTCAGAAGACCTGTCTCTCCATTTATTAGCTTCTCATTTATGGACCATACTATCTCTATGGTTCTGTCTCTGTGGGTTCCCTGTCTCTGCCAGGTTTGTCTCCGTAAAGACCCTGTATTCAGTAAGTTCACATTTGCTGTGAGAGACAGAAGCCCCCAAAGGACAATGTATTTCTCTCACAAGTGAAAATCCAGCCACCAGCAGCCCTGAGCAAATGTGGTGCGAGGGACTCAGGCCCCTGCTTTATGCTCCACTGAGCATAGCTGTCATCCCTACCTCATGGTCCAGAATGACTGCTGGAGCTCCAGCCATCATGTCTGCATTCTAGCCAGCAAGAAAGAGGGGGTCAAGTCCAGTCACATGCTCTCCCTTTAAGAATAATTCTCTTTTTTTTTTTTTTTTTGAGACAGAGTCTCACTCTTTTGCCCGGGCTAGAGTGAGTGCCGTGGCGTCGGCCTAGCTCACGGCAACCTCAAACTCCTGGGCTCAAGCGATCCTCCTGCCTCAGCCTCCCGAGTAGCTGGGACTACAGGCATGCGCCACCATGCCCGGCTAATTTTTCTATATATTTTTAGTTGTCCAATTAATTTCTTTCTATTTTTAGTAGAGACGGAGTCTCGCTCTTGCTCAGGCTGGTTTCGAACTTCTGAGCTCAAACGATCCACCCGCCTCCGCCTCCCAGAGAGCTAGGATTACAGGCGTGAGCCACCGCGCCCGGCCAAGAATAATTCTCAGAAGTACCATCTACCTCTTCTGTTTATTCCTATGCCCAGGAGTTAGTCATGTGGCCATAGTTGACAGCAAAGGGTACTTGGAAATGTAATCTTATTCTGAGGAATCTGTGTGCCAATCTCAAAATCAAGGGTTCTGTTACTAAGGAAGAAGGAGAGAGCAGATATTGGGGGATATTTAGTTTCTGTCCTGTCATTTACTGATTGGGATCTCAAAAGCACTTCTCATTAGCTCTGTGATTGAAGAGACTGTCAAAATATCAGTTGCATACTATTTAGAGCTGAGGGACAGCCCATGGGATGTAGCCAAAGCAGCTCCAAGAGGAAAACTCATAGCTTTGAGTCTCTTTATTAGAAAAGGAGAATGGTTGAAAATAAAGAACTTAGCTCAATTCACAAAGCTCAAAAAAGAAAAACAAAATTTTAAGAGGGGAAGTGTTGGAGCCACTGGGATGCAGTCCGACCTTCCCGCCTTGGTGCTCCTCAACAATCCCCCCCACACACTGGGAAAGACATAGTAACTGTGGAGGAGGACACAGAGGAAACCCCGACCACCTGGAATCACACACCAGAGCCAGAAGGAAATGTCAGAGGAGGTGTGTCTCCTCCAGCGTCCACTTGGTTACATCAGGTATTGGCAGACTCACTTCCTTCTGAGGGTCTGGTTCCCATGATAAACACTTCCTGTGTGCTGACCCTGCTTGTGGCCCTGGGGACAAGAAATGAGCCGTCCTACCCCTGTCCCTGCCTGCTAGGGGCTAGCAGCCTATTTGGGGAGATGACTTCACGTCTAGGTCATTGCAGCCCAGAAGAGGAGGCGCGGAGGACTTTCAGGGGAACGTAGGAGGACCTCAGTACACGCTGGCAAGAAAAGCGAGGACTTCCAGGAGGAGGGGATTCAGGAAGGCAGAGCAGTGAGGAGCTTGGGCAATTGGCTTCTCTGCATCTCCAGCTGTGTGACTTTTGGCAGGTCGCTTAACCTCCCTGAGCTTCAATTTCCTCTTCTGTAGGATCAGGATACCAGTGACACCTCCTCTGGGAGGGGTAAGGAGGAAAATGCTGGAAGAATTTTACACCCTTGGGCCAGGGCAGGGCACAAAGCATGCACTTGGGGTCCGGGAGCTGGGTTTGTTACGAAGTCACAGCTAAGCTGCCACCTGGGTGACTTAAGTGGATTCATCCACAGGGAAGTGATGGAAGAGCATTCTCGACAGAGGGAACGGTGTTTGCGGGAGTTGGACTATGGGTATTTGGGGCAGATGGTTCTCTGTGATGACATCTGTCCTGGGCCCTGCAGGTGCTGAGCGGCGTCCCTGGCCCCTACCCACTCTGTGCCAGGAGCACCCCCCAGTGGTGACAAACCAAAAATGTCCCCGGGCATTGCCGAATGTCTCTCTAGGGCGGAATCGCCCCTGTGGATGGCCAGTGGCCTAAGCAGAGGACTCAGGGAGAGAGGAGAAGGGTGTGACCCTCGGTCTGCGGTCGCCTTGCAGAGCCCCAGGGCTGGGCCACCCTCTCCCCCCGGACGCCCCCTCCCGACTGTTCTAGTCCAGACAGCCCTGCCGAGAGGACCGGCAGATGCCTCATCTGGCAGAGGGAAACCCTGAGGCTCAGAGAGGCGACATCACCTGCTCCAGGTCACCCCAGCAGCAAGCAGGTGCACAGGGACACGGAACCAGGCCACCTCACTCACTGCCTTTTGTGGGGCTCCTGCGATATGCGAAGCCACTCCTCGACGCTCTCTACCCTGTGGGGTCGGGGCTGCCCCTGGGGAAACTGAGGCCCAGAGGTCCCACGGCAGGCAAGGGGCAGAGCCCAGAGTTCATGGCCGATGCTTCCGCCTCCGCCCCGAAGGTGCCCTTCGCTTCTGGCCACACTCTGGGACGCTCTTCCTCCTCCGCCTCCTCCTCCTCCACCACCACTGGCCAGCCCCCGCGTTCCAGCTTCCTGTCTAGACAGCCCCCAATTAGCCGCTCATTAACGGGGCTAAGCTGATTAGAGCAGCTCTCCTTTCCTCTGCAGTGGCCGCCGGGCCGCTTCTCCGGGCGGCGCTTGGCTGCGCCCCCGCCCCGGCTCTCTGCAGCCACACTCCGGTGCCTGGCGGGGCAGAGGCCTGGGGTGCTCGTGCCAGCCCCATGCCAGGCCGGGCCCCCGCAGCCACTCCCTGCAGGCCCCATGCGCCAGCCTCTGGGCCTTCGATCGTTCCGGCCCTTCCTCCTGGCCACGTCCTGCCGGGGCCTCCCCTGATCACCCACCCACGCCGGGCAGAAGGAGGCGACTCCTGTGCGCTCTGCTCGGGGCATCACGAGGAACACGACACGCGAGGGGCCCGTGTCCTCCCAGGGGTGTCCTCCCCCTGGGCAGTTCTGTCCCCCGCCAGGGAGCTGGCCTTTCCGTGGGGGACGGGCTTGTGTGCTGGGCACACAGACGGGTGCTCGAATGGGGACACCCAGGCCTCTGTGTTAAACAAAGAGTGGACACCCCCGTGGAGGACAGACAGGCATTCGTGTCACACGAACAGAAACATGCCCCGATGGGGGACCCCGTGGGCCCGTGTGGTCCCTAGAGGTCAGCATTCTCCGTCGGGGACAGGCAGGAGGCTCGGAGGAGCAGAGTTGGCCACTGGGGTCTGTGCGGGACCTGCCGGCCGGGCAGGGATGAGCGCGGCGGATCAGCTGGGCAGGGGTTCTGGCGTGTTTGCCGCACAGACGGGGGTGCTCCAGCGCGGGGTGCGGATTCCATCCCTTTCCCACCCCGCCCGGGAGCACCTGGGGTTGTTCTTCCTGGAGGTGGCAGGGCCGGGCTCCCCCTTCCTCCTGGCCTGCGCTGGCTCCCACGGGCCTGTCTCAGGAAGCTCTAGAAGCGTCTGCAGGGATGTGGCGGTGGGAGGCGGGGTCTGAGCCAGACTTTCCATCCAGGACAGGCTGTTCTAGGAAATCCTCCTAAGCGAGCGTTGGAAAACCCTCACCTCGTTCCCGCCGCTGCTGCATGCCCGGCAGGGGGCCGCCACCCCCGACACACACACACACACACACACACACACACACACACACACACACCCCTACAGGACCGGCCTCCCCCATGCCCAGCCCAGGGCCTTGGAGACACACACACACACACACACACACACACATACCTACAGGACCGGCCTCCCCCACGCCCAGCCCAGGGCCCCGGGCGTTCCCTGCCCCGCACAGGCCGGCACAGCTGGAGGGGTCACCTTCCCTGTGTCCCACTCGGGCGTCCTGGGTGCCGCTCCCCGGGGGCAGCCATGGACGGGTCCCCCGGCTCTGGCGACCCGCTGCGGGGATGCGCCCAGTGACAGGTTCACTCCCACGCAGCGTGGTGTGGGCAGGGCGGGGGGGACACCCAGGTTTCTAACAGCAAAGGCAGATGACAAGCTGAGTGTCCCTTGGGGGCCGGATCTCGGTTCACCCTGGTCCGTGGCCGCAAGAGAGGCTGGAGCGGTCCCCGAGTGGGAGCAGCGCTTACGCACATCCCTGCCCGTGCGCACGGGACGGGGACCCGCGAGATAGCGACAGCCTCTGAGGACCCCAAGGGTTCTCACCAGGGCACCCTGTCTCCAGGGGACACTGGGCAATGTCTGGGGACATCTGTGGTTGTCACGGGCGGGGATGCTCCTGGCATGGGGTGGGTGGAGGCCAGGAATGCTGCCCCCGCCCCAGGGGACCATCTGGCCCAGTGTGCCCAGTGCTGGGAGAGCGAGACCTTAGCGTTAGGGGACACTGGGCCAAGTGACAGGGAAGCTAAACATGTCCCCCTGGTTGAATGGTCTCCGTAGATGTGTCTGCCCCTACAGTAAAATTTAAAAATCATTTCTAAAAACATGGTTCTCCAAGCCACACTTCCCTGAGATTCTAACTCCAGGCACGGGGCAGGGCCCAGGACTCTGCATGTTTTAAGGCAAGCCGCGATCCTTAGCTCTGGCTTGAAAAGGCTTCGCGGGAGGAGGATGCTGGCGGAGGTGGGGGTGGGGGAGCGCTGGGGTGGGCTGGCATTTCCCAGGGGCTGCTCCGCGCCCAGCACTAGGATGGTCTGTTCTCAACTTGACGCTGGTGGGGGCTCCTTGAGCAAGTTTCATTCTGTGCCATAGTCTCTGCCAAGTATGTGCCCGTTTTACAGATCAACAGGCCAAGGCACCACCCAGGAAGGCCCAGGCATTCCGGCTCCAGAGCCACGACTCCACGCCAGCCTCCCCGAAATCCCCCAGGCGGCCCTCACCGGGGCCCCTGTTACGTTCTCGCTTATTTTCAAGGCAGGGGTGCAAACATCAGGGGCACCCCGCAGTCCCCCGCGCCCACTCCGGTAGCAGCGGCTCTTGCAGTAATATCATTCTTTGGGTCTCGGGGCAGCTGACTTTCCCCCAGAAAATTAAGGCCCAAGGCATCCTTGGAAAAGCGTCCCCATGTCCAAGGACACCAGACAGCAGTGGGCTTGTCCTCAGACGGGTGGCGGATCCTTAGTCCTCAGCCGCCATCCCCAGACGCCCCCGGTGGGAAGCCCAGAGTTGGGCGAGATTCCAAGTTTTAGGAAAAGGGCCGGCGCCACCGCCCGCCCCAGGTCACGCGGCCTCCTGGGGGTTCCCGAGCGTCGCCAGGCCCCGTGTGTGGAGTGACGCCGGCGGGAATGGCAGAGGGCCCACGTGGACGTGTGTCGCTGAAGCCTCAGGAAGGCTCCGTCCCTCCCCCCGCCCCCCAGCATGGGCACGGAGTGCAAGCCCAGAGCCGCCTTGTCTGTGAAACTTAGCTGGTAGGGGCCCAGCGGGCTTTGACCCTCTGCCCCCAACCCGGGGCATGGGGGGCGGCCCTGAGCCGTCCGATTTCTGTGGAAGGAGAGAAGGACAAGAGCCGGGCTGTGAGGTCCGGGGGCCCTGGGCAGCCCCCGTCTCTGCACTGAGCCTCTACTTGCTCCTCTGCGCAATGGGCTTCCGGCCCCAAGCCCCAGAATTCTGGTAGAAGACGGGGCAGGGAAACGATGCTAACCCTTTGTGACCAGCCGGTGACCCTCTCATCCTGCTCCCTCTGCAGGCATCTCGTCCCCGGTGAAGAAGACAGAGATGGACAAGTCGCCATTCAACAGCCCGTCCCCCCAGGACTCCCCCCGCCTGTCCAGCTTCACCCAGCACCACCGGCCTGTCATCGCCGTGCACAGCGGTGAGCACCCAGGGCCCCGGGCAGGGAGGGCAGCGGGCCTTCTCAGCCAGTGGCCAGGGAAGTCCCACCAGATGTCTGACCATGAGTCCTGTTACTGTAGCCTTCCAGCAAGACAAAAAAAAAACCCATAAAGGTGTTGTGGTAGACAGCACCCAGGGCATGGTCCGAGCCTGCCAAGGGGTGTGGCTGAGCCTCTTTGGGCCTCAGTTTCCCCTTCTGTACAAGAAGAGGCTGAAGCCTGCATTCCAACCCCAGGCACTGACAGGTAGGCAGGCAGGCAGAGCCAGAAGCTGCCAGTACGGCCGCGGCCCACAGCGCTCTCTCTCCTGTGCCATGGCCCAGCTGAGGCCTGAGGGGTCAGGCTGCACCCCTCTGCCCATTTCTCAAGCCGCAAGGCCAAGGCTGAAACTGAGGCAGGGCCTGTCCAGGGTCAGGCATGTCCCCAGAAGTAAGGGTGCCCCACCAAGTCAGAGAGAGACCCACAGGGTCATCGTCACAGAAGGACGAAGACATCAGACAGCTCGGGTCGGGGCTGAGCTGGTTGCTGTACACGTGGCCCTCCCTCCCCCACCTGTCAATCGGGGCTAATCAATGTCCCCACCTCCCACGGTTGTCATTAGGATTAAATGGGGTGCCTCGTGGGAGGCCTCAAATACTGGTTATTACCCCGTGTTATAACGGTGAATTATTTAGTTCCACACAAGGACGCAGACACGTAGGCAGGGAGGCAGGCACAGATCAAAGCCGCGCAGTGATGTGGACCAGGGGTCAGCAGGTGACAGCCCTCGGGCTGCCTGTTCGTATAAATAAAGTTTTATTGACACACGGCCATGGCCCATTTGTATATCACCCCCGGCTGCTTCCACACTGCAGTGGCAGGACAGAGACCCTACGGCCGAAAAGCTGACAATATTGAGTCTCTGGCCAGGGACTAGGGAGACGGGGGAGAGGAGGGACTGCTCTACAGAGAGAATAGGCTGGAAATCGCCGAACTGTTTAGAAAAAAGGGAAAAGCAGATATTGCAGTGGAACATCACTCAGCCAGGAAAAGGGACGAGGCTCTGACACAGGCCACAGCGTGGAGGGACCTTGAGGACATCGTGCTCATTGAGAGATGCCAGACACAGAAGGACACAGTGTGAGACTCCATTTACATGAAATGTCCAGAACAGGCAGATCCGCAGAGAAAGGACATGGATTCGTGGTCGCCAGGGTCTGGGGGAAGGGGTGGGGAGTGACTGCCGATGGGGACGGGGCTTCCTTTTGGGGGAATAGAATGTTCTGGAATTAGTGATGTTGGTTGCATAACTTTGTGAAAATACTGAAAACTACTACTTGGACACTTAACAGGGTGAATTTTATGATATGCGAATTTTATGTCGGTTTAAAAAAATACTCATTCTCCGGCTCTTTATGGAAAGAGTTTGCTGACCTCGGGTTTGGAGTGTGGACCATGAGTCCAGATGGCACGGGACTCGACTCCCAGGTCTGCCATCTGCTTGCTGTGTGGCCTCAGGCAAGTGGCATGTCCTCTGAGGGCCACCACGTCGTCCTCAGTTAAAAAAAAAAATATGGCCAGGTGCGATGGCTCATGCCTGTGATTCCAGCAGTCTGGGAGGCCGAGGCGGGAGGATTGCTTGAGGCCGGGAGTTCGAGACCAGCCTGAGCCTAACCCCAACCTTAACCCTAACCGTCGCCTCCCGCTGTCTCCGCAGGGATTGCCCGGAGTCCCCACCCATCCTCGGCCCTGCATTTCCCCACGACGTCCATCCTGCCCCAGACCGCGTCCACCTACTTCCCCCACACGGCCATCCGCTACCCGCCTCATCTCAACCCCCAGGACCCGCTCAAAGATCTCGTCTCGCTGGCCTGCGACCCGGCCAGCCAGCAGCCCGGACCGGTGAGTAGGACAGGCACAGGTTCCTCCTGGCAGCCGCCAGCGACCTACTGGGGCACCGTGTGCTCAAACTCGGCTTCTACTTTGAAAGGTTTCGTGGTGGACTCGGGTACCAGGTCCCCTCATCCGCGTAGCACTGGGCGTCAGCTGACGCGGGTTGCAATTCAGATCTTCCGGATGTGAGGGTTTCTGGCCCACGCGTGACATCGCGGCCCCGGGGGCCTGGCCAGCACCTGCTGGTCCCTGCAGCCGTGTGCACATCCGCACGGCACTCGGGCAGGCGGGCACCGACTGGAAACACCCACCCGGGAAACCCCCACAGGGCGCTCCGGCATTCAGGGCGTTTCGGATCTCGGAAGCTGGGGCACAGCGTGTCGCGCTACTTACCGTGCACTCCCGGCGACCTGAATTAGGAAGACGTTGTCAGGAGGAAGTGGCTTAAGGAACAGGTGCAGGGAGTGTCACCCAGCAACGCCCCTGGCCCAGGTGACGCGTCCCCAGGGACCCACCTCTGGCCGTTCTCAGACCCAGCAAACTCGTCATGGCCACCCCGGCGGGGCCGTGGACAGAGCTGGGGGCGTCCGGCGCCAGCAGCCCGAGGCGGAGGGGGCGCCTGCCCCCTTAACCACGTGTCTCTCTGTTCCCCCAGTTAAATGGAAGTGGTCAGCTCAAAATGTCCAGCCACTGCCTTTCCGCCCAGATGCTGGCGCCTCCGCCCCCGGGGCTGTCTCGGCTGGCGCTCCCCCCTGCCACCAAACCCGCCGCCACCTCCGAGGGAGGAGCTGCGTCGCAGACCTCGGCCAGTAAGCACGCGGGAAGCGGTGACCCTGGTGGGGCGGATGTCCCCAGGGGCCCCCTGCCCTTCCCAGCCCCACTGCCGGGCTCAGAGGTCAGGCCTGGCCCGGCGGGAACTGGCGAGTTTGGTGGGTCTGCAGAGACAGCCTGGGGGCCACGTGGTCAGGCCAACGTGGGGCCGCGGCAGCCTCGGGACCGCAGGACCCAGCCACAGGCCAAGATAAGCAGCGGGGCTCTGCCCCTTCACCGAGTGGCCTGGGGGTCTCTGAAAGCCCCCCTACGTCCAGCAGCCGGCAGTCGACTAAGATCTCCAACTGGTGGCCCGAGGGCCAGCCTGAGATATCTTTTGTTTGTGGAAAATGAGACTCTGTTGTTATCATTTTGAAATCGGGATGTTTTAAGTAAAAATTTCCAGAGTTCTGGCTTCTGGGGGCAGAGAACAAGCCACACTGGGCCCTGCGTTCCTTTGGGTGACATGGGCTGGGGCTGGGGCCGGGCCGTACCTGTAGATGGGACCGTCCCCACCTGCCCATCTGACCCCGGAAGCCCCTGTTTAGCGGCCTCCCACCTTCTAGATGTTTCCACCCCTGGGTGTGGTTCCAGGTGATGTCCTGCAGGCCCCTTGCCCACTCCCGGACGTGGGGCAGCTCCGGGCAGGAAAACAGCTCCTAGGACCCCTGTCCTGGGGTCTGCCCACCCCCCGTGGCTCTCCTTGTGACTCCCACACAGGCTCGGGTGGGCCATCCACCCTCCTCTGGGGTCCACCCTGGCTCCCAGAGACAGGTGTCCCCGAGTGCTCGCCCCGATGGGCACACTGGAAGGGGTGAGCCCCCAAACCCGCCTCTGCAGCTCCATCCCTGTGTGACCTTGGGCAGATGTCCTCCCCTCTCTGAGCCTCAGTTTTCTCAGCTACAAAAGGGGTCAGTCCCAGTGCACGAGTTGCAGGGTGGTGGGACGCAAGCCGGGGCGTGGACCAGGGAGGCTCGGGGAGGACGTTGCGCGCAGCACCAGGCGGCCCTCACGACCTACCTGCCTGCTCAGACACAGGAGCAACAATAGTGTTTCCTGGGTAGGTCCACGGGGTTATGCCCAGTGCCCGGCACACAGTAGACACTTAATAGGTGCAGGATAAACACGGATTCCGTCCTCTTCTCCTGCACCAGGGCTCTTAGCTACACATCTACCCCGCTTAAGCCCCCAGAACGCGCTGCTTCCCACCTGCCCCACCCCAGCCAAGGCCACCTGGGGACCCACCCGTGGCCGCCTCCCCTCCCCCCACCAGGGTCCCCGGCATCCCTGGGCAGTGACTCAGGCACGGGCTGGCAGAGCGTAATCCGGGAGATGAAAAACTGCGTGTGCGCGTATGTACGCAGACGCCCGGGCCGCCCGCGCCCTCTCCAGGAGGAAGATGAACACAAAAAGCACCCTCAATAATTAATGGCGCTGCGCGGGCCGCGGGCCGCGGCGGCAGGATGGGGCAGGCAGTGGAACACCCTGAATAATTCACAGGCGGTTTCTGAGTTATGAATCTTTCATCCTCCGCCTTCCCTCCTGGCAGACGCCCCCCACCCCCGCCTTAGCGAGCTCAGCCGTGACCCTGGGTCCCCTCGAGTCAGGAGCCCTGTCCCCTCCCCCACACATACACGCCAAGCCCACCTCGGGCTTTTCAGGGGGCCCAGTTCAGCTGGGGGAGGGCGGCAGGCTCGGAGGCCCCCGGTGCTGGGTGCGCAGGCCCGGCTGTGTGACGCTGGGCGGCGGCCACCCTCTCTGGGCCCGGCCCAGGGCAGCCCCTGCTCCCGCATGCCCCCTCGCTAACGGGCTCTCGGTCTCTCTCCTCCCCGCAGCCTACTCTACGCCCGACACGTCCCCTGCAAACCGTTCCTTTGTGGGATTAGGACCAAGGGATCCTGCAGGCATTTATCAGGCACAGGTAGGGGCCAAGAGGCCAGCTGGGGGTGGGCGGGCAGGGCAGAGGGACCGGCCTGGGGGGGCTCAGGGACAGGTGGGCCTGCTGGGTCCTACGCCACAGCCTCGGCTCAGGAGGCCGATCCCCAAGCCCTGCCTGGGCCTAGAGCCCTCGCCTGGCTGATCTTTGAGGCTCAGGGACCTGGCAAGGCCCGATCCGCCTCCACCCCGGCCCAGGGCGTGTGGCGCAGCCCCACACCCCACACTCCACACCCCGCCTGCCGCTTCCCTAGGGCGTCTCCCGGGAGACGGTCACGGCAGAGCTGCGGGGCCAAGGTTATTACCGCCCGAGTCCCATTTGTATAGTTGGGGAAACTGAGGCCCAGAGAGGCAAGGGAATCTGCCCAGGGTCACACAGCATGTCCGCTGGGACTCTCCACCTCTCCCCAGCCTCCATCCCCTTCCGTGTGCCGCTGGCCCAGAGGGACCGGGGGTGGCTGCCCCTGGCAGGGGCCTCCCAGGGTAGCATCTGAGCCCCCACCCCAGACACACAGGGTGGGCAGGGGTGTGGGCAAGCAGGGGTGGCATTTACTTGGCTGCCGCAGCTGGGTGTGTGCAGGAAGGAAGGCAGGTTGGTTGAGGACCAGACAGAAGAAGTTCAGAGAGGGGAAGTGAGTTGTCTGAGGCTGCACAGCAGTCAGGGCAGAGTCCTGGCGGGTCCAGACTGGGGCCCATCCCTGGGAGCTGGGGGCATCCTCAGCCCTTGGCCAGGCCCAAGTGTCCCCGGCACCCACTGCCTGCCCGGTCACGGGTGCTCATCCATGCTGAGTGTGGCCGGGAGCGTGTGACCAGCCCTGTGTCTGCGGGTGGTGGCTGGACCCCGGAGCCCCTGCCCCTGGGGCCTGTCGGGGAGGGCTGGAAGGATATAAAACAGACCAGAGAGGGCTGGCCACCTGGCCGCTCCACAACTGCAGAACGTGGGGTTCAGTGGGGGTCCCTGGGGGTCCCGGAGGCCGTGTTCACATCTTCCAGCCACTGTGGGAGGTTTTCTGTGGTGACTAGGCAGGCAGGGCTCGGGGTTGGGGGACATGTCTGCGTCCCCATCCTCAGCCGCATGGGTGCAACCCATGGAGCCTTCCACCAGGCCCAGGCCTCCTGGGGACTCTCCGCGGCTGGCCTGCTTGTTGGGGGCGCCCTGGAGGCCGGAGTGTTGGAGAGGACGGGTGTTCCCCGCCCCGCCAGGCGTCAGCCAGGCCCCCCAGGAGGCTCTGGCCTGTGGGCGGCTACCTCCTCCCTCTTCTCCCAGGCCCCGCTTGGCCCTGGTCCCTGTACTCCACAGAACCAGCCAGAGGATGACACGGGGGCAGAGGAGGACGCAGGGGTCGTTGGGCTGCTTCTCCTGGGTTTGGGGAAGACCAGTATGCTGGGGTTAGGAGTCCTAGAGTCAGCTGCCTCGCCCACTCTGAACCTCAGTCTCTTCCTCTGGCCTTGGGCACCCCCCACCCCAGGGGACCTTTGAAGGGGATTGGAGGACAGGCTTCATCCAGAAAGGGCACTCAGAGGTCAAGACCTCCCCACATACCCGAATATTAAGCATCCTGCCCTGCACCCTGCACCCCAGAGCCCGGGGGACCAGGGACAGGAGTCCCCCAGTGAGCCGGGGATTCAAGCCAGGCCCCAGGACTCCCCGCTTTGAGCTTCGAGCCCCCCATGGCCGCCCTTTCTCCCCCAGGGCTGATGGCGCCGGTGCCTCCCTCCCGCCCCCACCAGGCCCCTCCCCACAGGAGGCTGGGAATGTCTTAATTGCTTCAGAGGCCAAAACTAATAAAACAGGCCTGGGAGGAAGCCCGGCTTTGCCTTCCCAACTTCCTGACCCGACTCTCCCACCAGCCCACAGCCCCGCCCCACCGGGCCGCAGGGGAGAGAAACCGAGGCAGGCAAGGGCAGTGCCTCGGATCCCAATGCTTCTCAGCCTCCCTCTCTCGGCCAGCAGGACTCCTCTGGGGACCCAGGGAGGGTGGTGGAACCTGGGGGAGGGTGGGTGGCTGAGCTGGGTGTCAAATGCTGGCCTGGTGGGGGAGGGGAAGGTGTTCCAGGCAGGATGTGTTTGGGGAAGGTGGGGAAACAGCTGGAATGTGGAAGAGTGACAGCTCGGTCTTTGCCCTGGGAGCAGTGGGGAGCCATGGAAGGGTTTAGAGTGAGGGAGGGGCACAGCGGTGTCTGGGAGTCAAAAGGAACTTTCCAGGGCACAGAAGGGAGGTGACAGATTTCGGAGAGACTCTCAAGGGAGCATGGGTTGGCAGGGGAGGGGAGGTCCCCAGGCTGGGTGTCATCGAGAGGCAGGTCTTGTGGGGGGGGCGACTGAGAGCCCCCTAGATGGAGGAGATGGGGAGAGGGAGGAGTAGGAGGAAGCTTGGCGGAGCTTGGCGGCCTCTGCCCGATTGTGGCCAGTCGGCACTTCTGCCTCCGCCTTCTTGTTCCCCGCGGGGTTGCCTCCCCTGCCTTCCTCCCCGCCAGCAGCCCGGACTGCCCAGCCGCAGCCCCGCCCCCGATCAATACCCCACGATCAATGCCAATTGATCCTGCCCTGGTCAGTCACCCGCCATCCCTTTGTGTCTTTCCCCATCCATCCCCCAGAGCGGGCCTCGGTCCCACCCTGCCCCATGCAATCCGCAGAGGTTAAGTCACACGCCCAGAGCCACACTGGGGGCTGCAGCCTGGACCTCACCCCCCAGGCCCACTGCCTCGGTCTCCCTGAGACAAGTGGGAGGGTGCCCCTCTTACTGGGGCCAGAGCCAGGCAGACGCTGGGCGAGGCGGGAGGAGCGATCAGGGCTGAGGGGAGCCGTCCTCCGCCGCGGGAGGGTCACGCCCAGAGTCAGTCTGGTTGCCAGCAGAAACCAGACATGAGGTAATGGCCAAGATGAACTTGAACTTGGCTGAAGGTAGGGGGCTGGGAACCGCGGCGCCAGTTCCATCAGCCGGCCCAGCGGCTGTCGGAGGGGGCTCGATGGACTGATTTACCGCAGGGCGGAGGGCAGCCCTGCCTCTGACCTCTGACCTCTGACCTCAGGGGGACCATGGGGTGCCCCCCTCAACACAGGCCAGACTGGGTGCCCCGGGGTTGGAGATTTGCATTTCCAGGGCAGGGGTCTTACAGCCGCTTCTCTGAAGAGACTGAGGCTGGAGCTGTCCCCAAGCCACACGTCCCCGTGGTGCAGTCCCACGCAAGCCTGCCCTGTAAGCCTCAGTTTCCCGCTCTGTAAAATGGGGTTGAAAGCTACCCTCTGCTCTCACTGCGCTTCCGGGGAACGAGCGGCCGGAGCTTTCATGCCAGGACAGCGCCCAGACGGTGCCGAGGGGCTCCTGAGTGGCAGACGAGGGGCTGGCCCCAGGCAGAAGCAGAAATGACAGATGGAGCCAGACAGGCCTGTGTTCAAGTTCCCGCTCTGCCACTTTCCCATGCTGGTGACCTTGGGCAAGAGACTTGACTTCTCTGAGCCTCACTTCCTTCCCTGCAAAGCAGGGCGGCCGGGGGACACCTATCCCTCCTTCACGGGGGTTGTAGTGGGCGAATATTAAATGGGAAAATCTTTGCTTTACAAAAGTAAAGGAGCAACCGCAGTCACAGTGCCTGGGTAGGGTGGCCAGGCGGGAACCACACCCTCCTTCCCCACCAAAACCTCTCCCTCACCCCGTCTTGTAGTCAGGGCCAGGGGCTTAGAGCTCAGGCTGCCAAATTTAGCAAATAAAAATACAGGACTGTCAGTTAAATTTCAATTCCAGATCCACAGATCGTTTTTTCAGTGTAAGTATATCCCCAGGTTTTCGTGAGATAGACTTACGCTGTATAAGTATATCTCAACACTGTACGGGAGCGACTTACAGGAAAAGAATTCTCAGGCCGGGCGCGGTGGCTCACACCTGTAGTCCCAGCGCTCTGGGAGGCTGAGGCGGGAGGATCCCTTGAGGCCAGGAGTTCGAGACCAGCCTGAGCAACAGCAAGACCCCATCTCTACTAAAAGTAGAAAAATTAGCTGGGCGTGATGGTGCACACCTGTAGTCGCAGCTACTCGGGAGGCTGAGGCAGGAGGATCGCTTGAGCCCAGGAGTTGGAGGCTGCAGTGAGCTGTGATGATGCCACTGCACTCCAGTCTGAGTAACAGAGGGAGACCCTGTCTCAAAAAAAAAAATTTTTTGGTTTGCCCATCACTGGGCCTCCTGTCACGTCTGGCAGCCTTGTTCAGAGGCAGAAGCACTCGCCCAGGGTCATCCAGCAGGTCGAGGCAGCGTGGGATGGGGAAACCGAGGTCACAGCGTTGCGGGGGGGGGCGGTTTGGGAAAGGGCAAAACCTGAACCTCAATTTCTCTCTCTCTCTCTCCCCCCCCCCCGCCTTCCCCCCGGACCACCCAGTCCTGGTATCTGGGATAACACCGGTCTTCTCCCCACGCCCCGTCTCCATCATCCCGAGAATCCGGGGGCGGGTCAGCGCAGCCCCCACATTTTCGGTGGAAAATTAGAGCAAGAACACCCCGCCGACTCCCAGCCCGGCCGGAAAGACAACACAGAGACGCGTACACCACACAGGAGGAAAAGGAAAAAACAAAACAAAAAAAAAGACAAACCGGAAAAAAAAAACAAAAAGCAAACCCACCCAACCAAGAAGACAGAAAGTAAAGACGTTTGCGACTCTCTCGGGACTCCGAGGCCGCCGCCCCATGGGAGACCGCTCCACGGGCGTCTTCCCAGGTTACTCATCTCCGGAAGGACAGATGCCCGACTCTGCCCAGAGACCAGGTGAGCACGGCCTGGTGCCCGCACCCAGGCCCGACAGGCGAGACACCCAGCGAGGCCGCCGCTCCCTGGGCACCCGCCCCCCAGCTGGGACACGGACTGGCCCCCCCGTGGATCAGCCGCTGGGGGGGAAGGGGAGAGACCCAGGACCCCCGCCGGCCTCGGGCAGCAGAGACCTCAGTGGCAGGCGGGCAGGTGGCCAGGGCGCAGGAGGGCGTGTGGCGCCGGCCTGCCCTCCTGGCGGGGACCGCAGATGCACCACGGATGCGTGGCAGGCACCTTCTGCCATTGGGAGGGAGGGTCCTGCCGTTTGGCCTCCCCTCTCCACGCCCCCTGCGAAGCGCTTGCGGACTCTCTCTTGCTGGGGACGGTCTCAGCCCTCGCGCCTGCCCCACTGGGAGGAGGAGTCTCTATGCAATTGACCCGGCCCCACCCCCGCATAGGAGGCCGCCCCCTGACCCCCGCCCCAGCCCAGCTCTGCACCCCCCGGGGGAGGGATCCACGTTGCACACACTGTAAGAGATGCACTTTCTGAGGAAGGGCATGGGGGGAGCCGGGAGACCCAGAGCTCCCCGAGAAAGGGGGTGCCCCCTGGGAAAGGGGGTGCCCCGGTCTGGAGTGTCTGGGACGGGAGGACCCTCCCCCCACTAGCCCCTGGAGGTGGGAGGTGAGAGCGAGTGGTTTAAGTGCCTGATCCCCGACACCCGCCCCCTCCTTGTCCAGCTGGGATGTGGGGGGGCCGCGGGCACCCCTCCCCCTCCCCCTCCACCCCGCCACCTTCCGTCGCGGACCCCTCATCGCCGTGCCCCCCTCAGAGCTAGAGAGAGAGCTGGGCGTGCCCCGGCACCCTGCCCTGCGTGGGGCGCGGGGGTGGGTCCTGGGGAAGCTGAGTGCCCCCCACGCCCCTTCTGCCAGTGCCTTACATCCCGGAGCGACACCCCTCCCGGTTCCTCCCAGCAAGAAGCGGGACCACCTGTTTGCACTTTCGTCTCCCCCACCAAGCGCGGCGGGCACAGCCGCGCCCCTGCAAGGAGAAAGGCGGCAGGCGGGCGAGAGGTGCCCACCCAGGGCCTGCACGGGGAGGGTTCTGGTGGGATGGGGGTGTCCGTGCCGGCACCTCGGGGCCCCCCGTGACTGCGTGGGGGGCCTCCCATCCGCTAAGCGTTTTCCGTTGAGCCGCTCCAAAAACACTAAGCTGGGGACGCCAGGTGCCCTCCATACCGGCTCCCTGGCCCCATCCACACCCCACGCCACCCACGATGGCCATCTCTGGGGAGGCCTGGGAGGGGGTGTGAGGTGTTCTAGGGCCACCAAGCCCAAACACAGGGACCCCTCCCCGGGCCATCCATCCCAGCCCCCCGACCTCCTTCATGCCTGGCGCTACGGAGTATCTGCCCCCAGCACGACCGCCTACCCCCCTTTGACCTAGGCCAAAGCCGTCGTCCAGGGCACGGGCCCTCCCAGTGTCACCCACTCCCGGCCTCGTCCCACCTCCCCAAAACCAGACTGTCCTCCCAACCTGGCCCCTGGGGGCTTGGCGAGCCCACTGGATCCTACAGAGAAAGACCCTAGACCCCTCCCCACCAAGCCCCCCACCCCACGCCCATTGCCCAGAGAGGTTCTGCCATCCTCTGGCCTTGGTCCCTTGGTCCGTCCGCCCGTCCCCAGGGCCCCTCCTCAGGGTGGGCACTTGGGGACCACAGCAGGGGCCGCTC